TCTGATTTAAGACCCTTTGTAATGCCTTAAATTGTGGAAGGGTGAATGAAGGCTTTTTAAGACACACAAAGAAACCCAATAATACAGTTTTACAATAATATAAATTTTACTAGTATTTTTACTTGCCTTCCGGTAGTTTTTTTTTTTTTTTTTTAATTGTAAATCACTTTGTGACAAGGTTCTATACAAGTTTATTATTAGTTAAGAACAAGGATGAAGACCCTTGCTTTCCCATGCAGGTTGTTTGATCTCAAAAAGACTAGAAATACTCACCTAGTCTTGGACCTGGAGCGAGAACGGGACTTCGAGCGAGAGTGGTGGGACCCCTCTTTCGACCGAGCAGGTGAGCGTTCCGGGGAGCGACTGGCTGACTTAGCAGATCCTCTAGGACTTGGGCTCCTAGAGGTTGAACGGGACTCCTAAACCAACCACATCCAAATCATGTTTGAGCCAGAAAACATGGTCATACTGAGAATATTTGCTGAATACTGAGAACTAATTATTGTGTGCATATAAGTGAGTTTGAGACCATTCTAGACTAGGATAATATGCAGTGATGATGGCCTTTTCCCTGCAAGTTCATGAACTAGTGTTAATAGTGTAAATTTACTTTGAAGCACTTACAACATAGGAATTTGCAGTTTTTTGACATGTAATGCATCAGATTATTTATGAAAATAACTAGCTGTAAATCTGTCATGCTACAGGACAATAGTAACTATTGCAATACAAATGGACAACAGAATATTTATGCATGCACGCATGGTACAAACATACTAAGAGTTACTTAGCGCTGCGATCTTATCCCAGATAACTTCTGATCTTAACTTCATAACACATCTTTTCTTCTTTCTTCAGTTTCAATTTCATTTCTGACTTCATTCCTCTTCCCCCATTTCTCTCACTGCCCATAAATGCTATATGGGAACTTCTTTTGCTCCAAAAATTAGCATGCACTGAAAATTCAGCTTCAAATTATTCGCATTAACAACTTGACATTTGACTTCGTCCAGATTTCTCTTCTTCCAACCTTAACCTTAACAAAAAAGAAAAGGATGAAGAATGTATAAACACTGGACATCACAACCAATAATCCTATCGTTTTATTAGTGTGGGAAAAACATTATAGATGAACCAACAGAAATGAAAAGTGAGCTGAAATATCCATCATGAAGAACACTAAGATACTTTCAGGTGCATCCTGAGCCTTATGCATGCATGCAAAAGCAATTACTCCAATTACAAACAAATACTTACATATTTACAGTAATTTAAGCCAACCAGAAGGATGTTAAAGGACGATCCTGATATGCATACACATATCAAGTCTACTGTTATGTTATTAAACTAATAAAAGAGTAATGTCGCTGTAATATTAAAAGTGTACGTGATTTTGAAACTAATTTGCATTTTGTGCATATATGAATAGCTTTGAGGCTCAGGATGACCTTCTCGTGTATTAGCAGCAAGTAATACGCATACAGGTTATATCGATTTAATAAAACATGCAAGGAAAAAACAACACTTAGTAGAGACAGTTAAATATTTTGCTTACTAGTGAAAAAGCAGAAACTGAAAGGCAAATAAAGGTCTTTCTGATCTGAAGCAGCTGTCTGTCTGCTAGCACTGAAGTTGGCTAACTGGATGCTTGATTTCGACACAAATCTATATTAAGTTATATAATTTTATGAAGTTTTAGAAATTACAAAAGTAAAGGCATAGAGTCCATCATTGCATTAGTGCAATACTAAGTAATCCGATTTTACACAATGAATGAAGCCTGTCTGACTCGCTCCAGCTGGCTAGCATACAACATGGAGGCCATTTCTAGAAGAAACATGGAAGGGCGCGTGCAAAAAGAAAAAACAGTAAAAATACTACATACCCGCTCCACGAATTCCTTCTCAGCGTCACTCATTGTTGTTTAGTATGTATTACGCTGCAATGGTAACACTGTGAGAGAAAGTACAGATAGTGAAACACAAACAGAATGCCCAAACGCACAACCAGATCGAACGTCTGGTAATGAACGCCTTCCTCGGTCGTGTCGTAGAGGCTTTAGAAACCAGCGTTTCCACTCCCACTTGCGCGGCCAAGAAACGGCCGCAAGAGGGCGTCGAAAATACTACACACAGGTAAAAGCTTCTCAAAGCATACATCTGTAATGAACATATGTTTTACACAAACAGACTCTTATTCAATTCATTTTACATAGAGCAAAGGTTAAAAAAAAATCCTCAGAACAAATCCGATCCGACTGTCAACGGCTCTGCTGGCATCAAATGCGCAGAGGCTGTTCTTCAGAAGAAAGACTCTTTACTACTCAGTAAGCAAGGAGCTGATTGGCCGAAATATAATAGAGGCTATCTGTGCAAGACATCGATTGGACGGCACTGATAGTAATTTTTCCCGCGTTCACTACACTAGAAAATGTATGAATGGAAAACTGCTGCATGGCAGTAAGTTGAATTGTATTTCCCGCGGCTTTCTTCACTTGACTTTGTTTGGTGCAGAGGTATACTGAAATACTTATTTAATTGCTACACTTACAAATAACCATTCTGCTGCCTTAGTGTTTGTTTTGTTTTATACACAACAGTAAACTTGCACATGTAATTTTTTTATTCGAGTCCTATTTTAGAAAAAAAAAGCAGTGGTGAAACCAAACAGATGTGGATATTACTAATAAAAACAAAAAGCTTATCTTTTTGTTATTATTATTCTACATAACCAAATTCACACACACGTATTCTTAGTGTTTTTATATAAATTATTTTTTTATTAAATTAAATTAAAGTGGAAAATAGTTGTAGAATATTCCACGTAGCTACATTTGGCAAGTAGAAAAGCCCATGTGCATTTGTATATTGATAATATAAATAATGCCGTGAGAATAAGAATAGGCTATTGCATGATGATTTTTTTTTTTCAGCATTATTTTAATTTAGCCACTTTTTAGACTCTAAAGTAGCTGCTAAATGTCATTTAACTCGAGTCATACCACAGAGTTTCAAGTAGATGGCGCCTAAGAAACAAAATTGCATTTTTGTGTAATTCATTTTAATGAGCAACAGGAGTAGTTTCTGCCATCTCCTTAACATCATGAAGCATGAACTTCTAAAGAGTGGCTTTTTATAATATCCAATAACACAACAAACAAATAAGCACATGTAGAGTGGTGATCTTCACTAAAAATGCATCACTGTGTGTGTATTAGCACAAGATAATTATTTTCCTTTGAGCCTTTGTTCCCAAGACAGGATGAATATGGCCTGCATTTCTTGACAAACTCAAAAGCTTAATAAACGTGCTAAAATTTAAAAAATGAAAAATGTTTAATGTAATCAGTAGTGACTTATATAGCAGTAATACGCACCCCCCATTTATAATTATGAGAGAATCAAAACAGATAAAACATTGTTTTACAACACAATCAAGTTTAAAATAAGTTATAGTTATAATATAAAAAGAAAATAGTCTGTGTATTATTGAAATCCTCATTGTCATTTTTTATTAGTATTTATATATTATAAATATTGTTTTAATTGTTTATATATTTATTGCATATGCCTTGAACACTTCAATTTAAAAGCCTTCTAATAAAAACCATTATCTTCAGAAATCAGAAATATCTTCATTATCTATCTAAATCATTAGCTTTCAGACAGTACAGTTA